CAGGTGTGAAAATGGACAATATCGATCCACTCCATCAAGTACCTCCCCCACAAAATATAGAAATTTTGAGTACCCATGAAGTTCATAAATAGCCAAATTAACATCCGATTCCATTTAGACTTGGCATAATCTTAACACTAGTCAAAATATATTTAGATAATCGAACATAGGCTGAGGGTATATCTCTGGCGGCAATACTGATATGCTGATACTTTTTAACTTGTTATAAGATATTTTAATTGTAGAATTTTACATATTATGGTTTAAGACATAAGAAAAATGTATCTGATTCAAGGACGAAATTGGCTACTTAATCGATTTTTCTCAGACTTGAAGTAAAATTGAAAAATTGGCTCCTTAATCGATTCTTCTGAGACTTGAAGTACATAACACCAAACTGACATATAAAGCATGAAACAAGTTAAAAAGCAGTTGCAACGAATTAAAAAATTCTGTTAAAATTTTAAAAATACCGAATATAGCCGTTATATTGGGGTCTATACGACGTGGACATACATAGGCATTGTTTGTCATAAGTCATTACCATATTCAAATTCGAAACTTGAAATAAACGGTGAATAATGTAGCTAAAATGATCAAAATATCGTATATAGGGAGGTACCGCTATATCGGAGCATAGACAATTTTCTGTCACAGGCTGTAGCATCCATTATGAACTTCAATTACCACATCTCAAACAATTTCGTTGGGTATTGTAGCTAAAATCGTCAAAATACCGAATATAGGGAGGTACTGATATATGGGGCTTATACGAAGACCTGGACCCGCACAGACAATTTTCTGTCACAAACTGTAGTTTCCATAACGAACTTGAAATACCAATTTTGAAACAATTCCGGTGAATAATGTCGCTAAAATCATCAAAATACGGAATATAGGGAGGTACCGTTATATGGGGGCTATATGAAGACGTGGACCTGCACAGACAATTTTCTGTCTTAGGGTGTAGTATCCATTTTGAACTTCATATACCAAATTTGAAACAATTCCCGTGAAAAATGTCAATAAAATCATCAAAATACCGAATATAGGGAGGTACCGTTATATGGGGGCTATATGAAACGTGGACCTACATGGCCCATTTACGAACCTAACCTGCCTACTGGAAAAATAAACATGTGTGCAAAATTTTAGCCATCTATCTCAATTCATTCGAAAGATAGCATGATTACAACAGACAGACAGACGGACATCGCTAAATCGACTTAGAATTTTACGCTGATCAAGAATATGTATACTTTGTTGGGTCTGACATGAGTATTTCGAGGAGTTATAAACGGAATGACAAAGTTAATATACCCTCCATAGTATGGTGGAGGGTATAAAAATCGGCATTGTAGAATTTCGGAAATTTGATCTGTGGTAAAATTTTCGATTTCGTTTCTCTCTGATGATCAAGTGCGGTTTGACAGCATATGAATTTTCGTATATCAAAAATTGTGCACCATTATGTTGCACAGTGTAAGATAAAGAATTCTTAATCTACATCTAAAAGAGGAAAATGTGTGTATGTTTGTAGTTTATGGACTCGAAAACCGCAGCACAGATTATCCTGAAAATTTCCAATATACATTTTTGAAATTCCACTTTGAACTGGAGATATAGTATCAGAATCGGAGGTACCTCTCAAAATTTGGATTTTATATGCACATATATATTGATCGATTACAGATGCAGTCTCCTTTTTTGGAATGCGTAACGGAATTTGGGAAAAAAATAAATTTGCCAAATTATATTTATATCGGTTCAGACTTGGTTATAGCTTCCATATATATTTTCTGCCGATTTCATGAATTTGGTGCATTGGCGTACACCACATTTCAATGAAATTTGAAACGGATGATGGAATTTGTAAAAAAAAAAAAAAAAAAAAAAAAATTTAAATTATATTGAAATCGCTTCAGATTGGAATATAGCTCCCACATACATTTTCGGCAGATTTAATGTATTTGATGCACCAAACACGCTATGTACCTCTAATTTCAATGAAATTTGGAATGTGTAACGGAATTTAAAACGAACATACATTCGCCAAATTATATTGAAACTGGTTCAGATTTGGATATAGCCTCCACATATATTTTCGGCCGATTTCACATATTTTAGGCACTATCATTTGATCAGAAAATATATTTGCGAAATTATATTGAAATCGGTTCAGATTTGGATATAGCTCTTATATATATTTTTCGGCCGATTTCATAATTTGATGCACAAAACACGATATGTACAGGGTGAGATGAAAAAACTGCAACCAACTTCAGACTGCTGTCATTTCTAAGCCACTCGTCCGACAGCTGTTAAAATTATTCCAGTGACAGATCATTATATTGTTTACAAGCCTACAAAAGCATTTTGATGAGAATTTTCCAGAAAAAAATTATTCGTGGTGGAATTCAAGCATGTGATGGTGGACTTCTTTATATTTGGCACCACAAGTGGCTATCGTTCAGCACTCCAGCATTTAAATCTTTTGTGTCTCATACCATCGCTCGTTATCGTGATACTGGTAGCGTAGCCCGACATCAAGGAAGTGGACGGAAGAAAACAGCAACATCAGCAGAAATGGTTCGAAAAGTAAAGAAGCGACTTGATCGCGGGTTTCGAGCCATTTTTCGGCCACTGCGAAAAATGGCTCGGTTCGTGAGCTGAACATATCCCAATATTCCATTCGGCAAATATTGAAAATGAGTTCGGTGTACAGCCATTGAAATTCCAAAAAGTGCAAGAACTTACACCGCAACTGAAAGAAAATAGACTCAAATAGCTAAAGAGTTGCTTCGCTTGACCGAAAGTGGTGACCTGCCGAATTTCATTTGCTCCGATGAGAAAACATTCGTTCTCCAGCAGTTTGTAAACAAACAAAATGATCGTCTTTACTTGCCAAAGAGGTCAGCGGAAAATGTGCACCTTCGGTTGGCCACCGGAACTCAAGCGCCAGCCATGGTGGTGGTGTGGCCCGCCATAACAGCCAATGGTCGCTCTCCGTTCGTACTAATCGGCCGTGTCATCAGAATAAATGCCGAATATTATCGCGGAAATATTCGGGAGGGTGTATTAAAGCTTTGGGCACGCAAAATTTTGGCCGCAGACTTTGAACATTCCAACAGAACTCAGCACCATCGCACTCATCACGCGCCACCCAAGAATAGTTACAAAATAAGGTTCCTCGCTTCATTTCCAACGCACAATGGCCACCAAAATCTCTGGATACCAATCCGTTGGACTTTTGTGTCTGGAGTATTTTGGAAAGCAAGGTTGGCACTAAAAAATAACAAAATGTCGATCACTTCAAGCAAGCACTTCGCCGGGAATGGGCCAAAATACCGCAGAGCAACATTCGGGCAGCTTGTGACGGTTTCATTAGCCGTTTGAAGGGCATAATTCGTGCCAAAGGTGACCAAATATGAATAAATCTAAACTTAAAGAAAAAAATGCAAAAATTATGGCGTTTGACTTGGCTGCAGTTTTTTTTTATCTCACCCTGTATTTTCGTTCGGATATGTGTTCGAGAAAACTTATAGTAACATTTGATGCTATTTCCGACATTTGTTGCTTTCATTCAATAAAATTTAAAGAGAAATGTAAAGATTATGGCGTTTGACTTTGTTGCAGTTTTTTTACCTCACCCTGTATTTTCATTCGGATATGTGTTCGATTTCGAATATATGTTTCGATTTTCAATATTGTTATCTGTATGAGATGAAGTATGAAGATGGAATACTTCTGTCGACTATATGTGGTACCTCTAGCAGGTTTTAATATTTTCTAAAAATTATCACATATCTCATATAAAGTGAAGGAAGCAACCGGAATATTCCAAACGTGGCACGTCGATATATTTCTACCATATTTATTAAGGTCCGACATGAAATGGACAGTATTGGCCCATTCCTTCGGATTCTAGTCCATAGAGGGTTAACAATTTGAATAATCTCAACAGAAGTCCAAATATATTTAAATAATCGAACATTGGCTGAAGGTATACGGGTTGCCCATGTTCGTCGGACCTTTACGCCCTTTCTGCCCATTCCAATCGACGAGGCTTGTCCGCAGGCAACATTCTTTGCGTCAATTGAATTTTGGACGGGAACAAATGCAAATCAATGCGAATAATCCGTTGTAAAGAGGACCGAGCCATTCCCAACTGCTGAGAACGGCGTTTTTGGGATGTTCTTGGGGACCTCTCAACACTGGCTCGTACGGCAGCCATATTCTCGGCCGATCGCCTTGGTCGACTTTTATATGGCCTCTTCGGATTAGAAAGAGCTTTACCAGTCGAAAATTTTTCGTATAAACGCTTAATGGTGTTCTTAGAAGGCGCACTTCTTACATTTTTTTTTCACAATTGACTTCTTCTGTTGAGTGTAAATTTCGACTATTTCAGAGCGCTCTCGTGGCGTGTATTTGTTCATGGTAAAAATCTGCTTGGACTGACGCTTCAAACGTGGTATGTCATTAAGCGATGTGACATCTCTGTCAAAAGTTATGGCGTTGCCAGATGGGTCCGTCGAATATGGACAACCCTGTACACCTGTCGGCCATAGCGACTAATACGTGTTAACTTGTTTTTTGCTTTCTATGAAAGTGTCAAAGGGATATTAGACAAATATTTTCAATTTATTTTTTTAAACTCGTTTGCATAATTTTTATTTCAATTTTTCTTCATAATATTACATATACGAATTTTATACAAATTTGTTGCTACTTAGACTAATTAAAATTAATAATTAATTTAAATTTAAAAATAAATTGAATCAACAATAAATTTTCCCCTGAGACTAACTAAAGACGATGATACTAAGGTACAGACAATGACTAAAAAATGATGACAACTTATTTCACTAAAACTTAAAACGTCTCAATATTTTAACACCAACATACACAGATATACTAAATTTAAAAAAAATAAATTTTCAATAAATACACAGTACAAATAATAATAATGCTAAAATATTATTTATAAAACAAAAATCGTAAGAGTTCTTATACGGCTAAGTATTTTCCAAAAATTATTAATTTAATGGAAATCGACTAAAATAAATTAAGTTATTTTAATTTTTTTTGTTTAATAATTATATTCTCATTTCTTGTGTATATTTTCAGAACTCTGCGAAAAGGCTGGATTCGTTTTACCCTCAAAATCGCCCAGGACCATAGAAATGCCCGAGGCAGAATGTTTAATACCGGTGCCGGCTTTCTTTTTCGTAATGGGGGGAGGTGGTGTTGTTGTGGGCAGTATAAACGAGGCCTTGTTAATGCGCCGATACAACAGCGTCCTCAGTTTGTAGATTGTGAACAGCAGCATATAGATAACACAGGAGAGGAGGAGAACTGCAACCACTGTCAGTGTGGCATTGACCGGTGTGGCCCAATCCACTACATGGTAAATATATGGTTTGCCTTTTCTGTAAAAGAAAATTAAATATATATATTTTTTAAAATTCTTGCAGGTAAGATATCCAGAACATTGTACATACATATTGTGACCCCCACTCAGCTGATATATGGCCGAGAATATGGCATAAATAATACCGAATAGTACCGGTAAAAACATGTGCAGCAACCTCAGCGGATGGGCCACAATCAGCAGATCCACAAACATACAAATAGAGTTGAAGACATGGGTCAAAATGTTAGTGGCATTTAGGTTACTTTCGTTCACTACGCAAGAGAGAGGAAAGGGGAAAGAGAGAACAAGATATGTGTGAGTGGGATATACGGTACAAAATTATAAGGGGAGAATCTTACCATCATATAGCAGAGTCCAGTAAATAATTGATATAACAATTGAGACGACCAGCGCTGTTATGTGTAGACCCCAATAGATGCGGAATGGACTTGTTAAGGATTCCAAATTTAACAGTTTATCTGAAAGGGAAGGAAATTAAGGGAAATGTCAATTAATATATTTTACGAGATATATAAATAGAATATTTTCGTTGGATAAAAGACCTCTCAAAAATCTTTAACAGCATATGACCTTAGAGAGGACGCCTGCAAATAGAACTTCTTACAGAGTTGTGATCAAGATTAAATTACTTCCAGACACCTTCAAAATACAGAAGACCTTTAAGAGCTTTCCCATAGACTAAAGACATTCTTTCAGGCTTCAACAGGCAGAACCCTTTATATAGGAATAATATATATAGAAGGTCTAATTGTGGCCTTTAATAACACTATGCAACAGAATTTAATTTTTGCCAAAATGAAAGGGACAAAACTCATACATAGAGAGTATATTAAGAGAGAGAGAGTATATTAAGAGTATATTATTATTATTATATTATTAGAGAGTATATTAAGTTCGTCATTCCGTTTGTAATTCCGTTGTATATATATTCTTGATCAGCGTAAAATTCTAAGACGATTTAGGCCTGTACGTCCGTCCGTCTGTTGTAATCACGCTAGAGTCAAAACGAATTAAGATAGGAAGCTGACATTCTGCACAAATCAGTCTTTTGTGTGCTGGCAAGACAAGTTCGAAGATGGGCTATATCCTCCACGAATTTTAGCCCATATAACAGTTACCCCTCCGATATTCGGTATTTTGATGACTTTAGGCACATTTTTAATGGAATTGTCTGAAATTCTACACAAGGGGTTATTTGTAGGTACTGCAAGAGAGCTGTCTATATAGGTCCACGACCGTTAAAAATTTTGTTAAAATTTTAAAAATACCGAATGTAACCTTTATATTAGGGTCTTTACGACCACGTGGACCTGCATAGGCAACTTTTGTCATAAGCTATTACAATTTAAAAAATCTAATGTAGCTAAAATCATCAAAATAGCGAATGTAGGTAGGTACCATGGGGTTATACCAAAACGTGGACCCGCACAGAAATTTTTTTTCATAGACTGTAGTATCCATTAAGAACTTCAAATAACAAAATTTGAAACAATTAAGTAAAATTATCAAAATACGAAGACTTGGACCTGCACAGACAATTTTCTGTCATAGGCTGTAGTATCCATTACGAACTAAAAATACCAAATTTGAAACAATTCTCGTACCGTTATATGGGGGCTATATCAAAACGTGGACCTACATGGCCTATTTACGAACTTAACCTGCCTACACGTGTGCAAAATTTTAGCCTTCTATCTCAATTCCTCTCTATCCCTATCCCCCATATACGGTACCTCCCGATATTTGGTATTTCTATGATTGCAGCTACATTTTTCCATAGAATTGTCTAAAAATCCACACAAAAATCCTTCTGAGTACTCTGTCCATATAGGTCCATCATATCGTATAAAGTTTGAAGCTCAAAATGAGTACTACAATCTATGCCAGAAAAATTTCTATGCAGGTCCACGTCTTCGTATAGCCCACATATAAATTTTATTCTAGACCGGTAAACTAGCCGCCTAGATCTTTCGTTTTAACTCCTTTAGACTACTTTTTGTGGGATTATGTTAAAGCTCATGTCAATACAGACGAGCCCGCTTCCTTTAACGCATAGGAAGATAACATTACAGCATTTATTTCTGGAATGCCGGCCCAAACATTGGAAGAGTATACCAAAATTGGACTTAGCAGATAGAACATTTGAGACGTAGTCACGGTTAACATTGGCATGAAATTACTTTCATTATAACCTCAGTCATATGGCTAGAGAGGGTATATATCGTTTTACTTAGGCCGTACTTTGGCCGTGCCTAATCGAAATAACGGTTTTAGACCTTAGGTCTCTTTGGACCAATTCCCATTCAGGATGTTTGGAGTTGAGCTACGATGTCCGTCTGTCTGATTTGCACGATAACTCTCGAAGGGAGTATCCGATTCGTTCCAAACTTGGTACATCGTAATATTGTTATCAAACTTAGATCGAGTTCGGATATGGGCAAAATGGATCCCCTCCTTCTGGGTACCTCCCCCACAAAATATAAACATTTTCAAAGAAAATAATTAACTGCACAGAAAGAGAAAGGATAATCCGATTTTGCTGCAACTTTGCAAATCCTAATATTTGCATCAGTGCTAGGTCAGGTGTAAAAATGAACAATATCGGTGCGCTCCAACAAGTACCTCTACCACAAAGGATCAAAATATTGAATAATTATGACTCATATAAAATGTGATGTAAAGCCGGATTCCATTCAGACTTGGCGCATCTCAATATTTTCCTCAACACAAGATCTGTTAGAAAGATGGTAGAGTTTCGATCATTCCTTCTGATACCTCCCCCCAAAGGTTCAATGTTTTTTATAACCAAAACGATCATAAAATCCGAAATAAGTATCCTGTTCTCTCCAAATTACACACATCACAATATTTTTATTCACCCAAGATCTGGTGAAAATATGGAATACATCGGTCCACTCCTTCTGATACCTCCCCCTCGAAGTTCACAATTTTAAATATTCGTGAAGCTCTTAAAACACGAATTAACATCCGATTCCATTCAGAATTGATACATCTCAATATTTTCCTCAACACAAGATCTGTTAAAAAGATGGTAGAGTTTCGACCATTCCTTCTGATACCTCTCCCCCACAAAGGGTCAATGTTTTTTTATAACAAAAACGATCATAAAATTCGAAATAAGTATCCCTTTCTCTTCAAATTACACACATCCCAATATTTTTATTAACCCAAGGTCTGGTGAAAATATGAAATATATCGGTCCAATCCTTCTGATACCTCCCCCTCGAAGTTCAAAACTTTAAATATTCATGAAGCTCTTAAAACACGAATTAACATCCGATTCTATTTAGACTTGGCACATCTCAATATTTCTATCAGCACAAGATCTGTTATAAAGATGGTGCAGATCGGATCATTCCTACTGGGAACTCCCCCACAAAGGGTCAAAGTTTTGAATAACCAAAACGATTATTTTACACAGTTCCATAATTTTTTTAACCCAAGGTCTGGTTTGAAGATGGAATGTATCGGTCAACACCTTCTGGTACCTCCCCCATAAAGGGTCAACGTTTTTATACCATATTAATTTTGTCATGTCAGACCCAACAAAGTATATATATTCTTGATCAGCGTAAAATTCTAAGACGATTTAGCCATGTCCGTCTGCCTGTCTGTTGTAATCACGCTATCTTTCGAACAAATTGAGATAGAAGGATAAATTTTTGCAGACGTGTATATTTTGCCAGTAGGCAGGTTAAGTTCGTAAATGGGCCATGTAGGTCCAAATTATCATATAGCCCCCATATAACGGTACCCCCCGATATTCGGTATTTTGATGATTTTAGCGACATTATTTACCGGAATCGTTTCAAATTTGGTATTCGAAGTTCGTAATGGATTCTACATGTAGGTCCACGTCTTCATATAGCCCCCATATAACGGTACCCCCGATATTCGGTATTTTGAATCATTCCAAATTTGGTATTTGAAGTTTGTAATAGATACTGCAGCATAAAACAGAAAATGGGCCATGTAGGTCCACGTCTTCGTATAGTCCCCATATATTATTATTTTTTTTTTTTTTGGAAATTGCCAAATTGGTACCAAATGGTGGAGGGTATTAAAAGTTCGGCCCGGCCGAACTTACAGCTTTTTTACTTGTTAATATTTATGAAGCTCATAAAATGCGAAATTAACATCCGATGAAATTCAGACATGGTACATCTCAATATTTCCATTAACACTATATCTGTAATAAAGATGGTAGAGATCACACCATTTTCCAGGTAATTCCCCAACATTGGAAGTAAGCATTCAATTCTCTTCAAATTTCCTCTCCCGCAAAGGGTCACAATTTTCAATACTTTTATCAGTCATAGCTTGATATCTGATTAACCAGATGTCTGATATGAATATGTAATTTATCGGAATTTATGATTTCGCATAAAATTGGAGATGAATGTTCGGTTTCCTTCAAGTTTCGCACTTACAAATTTTTTAATCTGTATTAGATGACGTATGAAAGTGGAATACTTCGGTCCGCTATATCTGTATCCTCACGCATATTTCCACATTTTCCAAAAATTTGCACATAGCTCATATAAAGTATAGGAAGTAGTCGATATAGTTCAATTCTGGCACTTTGTAATGTTTATATCAGTCTTAGGTCAGACACGAATTGGACAATATTTTACAACAGTTTCAGAACGTCCCCCATAAAGGGGTCAAAAGTTTAAATAATCATAACTCAAAGCTGGGGTATACATCTGTCGGCAAAACCGACTGGTATTATTTTAATTGTTTTTTTGTATATTTTAATACAAAAATTAATTTTTTGCGATCTGGGCTCCCCAAATTGGGTCCGAAATCTATTTCTATGAATGTCCCAGAATTTATTTATATAATACTTATGCTATAAACATTATAATTTACTACTATTAAATATTATGAGAAGCGCCTAAAAGTATACCATCAAAATGTTAAAGTTGAACATTGAAAAAGTCACTTTACCTATGACTTCAACATTATATGTCTAAAATAGATGATAATTTATTTTTCTCACTCACCTGCATAATCAGGACGATAGTGCCATATGAGCACCAATATGGCGGCATAGACATTTGTCAGCATGCACAGCAGAATGCCCCAGTTGGTCATGTAGATGAAATACAAACCAAAGCTGGCATTGTGATAATGGTCGATCATGGAATCGATGACAACGGCAATAAAGAAGCCAGCCAGAAATAGGCGATAGATTAGATAAAGGATGCTCTTGGTGCGATTTTGCCACTGAAAAGAGATGGAGAGTGAGAAAAGAGAAAAATTAATTTTGGATTGGGTTTTTACAATTAAATATGGATTTGGTTCATTGACCCACTTCCGCTTGCATTGAAATTGAATTTTTGATATATTCGATTAAAGGTGCCTCAGGAACGTCAACCCCTTTGATGAAATTGGCTCTCAAGGTGAAGCAATGACATGAAATGTTAATAATGTTAACAAAACCCCCAACCCCTTCTTACCTTCGTCCAACTAAGTAAATCTAGGTTCTTTAAACAAAGAACAGTTGGGGACACAAAAAATTGGTGCGTGTTAAAAAAAGGCTGAAATCTTGAGAGAGAGGAGAAACCCACTTTTTGTGGGTTACCTAAACATACCCCCTTCTCAGGCAATAACTGAGGGCCACACTGCATTTGATGGGAGTTTGAACATGTTGTTGAATGTTTTTTCTTTGCGTTGTTGTTTTTTGTTTTTTAATTTACCAATTAATAACCAATTTTGTATTGGACACTTGCCCAAAAGTACCTGTAAGTTGTACGGTTTTTTAGTAATCCCCTTCCCTCCATCCTTCAACTTTTGGCATTCAACTACTGGGTATTTGAATTGTGCATAAATTTTTAATAAGTTTGAATTTGATGTTGGTTTTGTAGTATTCTGTGTTTTTTTTTTTTTTTTTTTTTGCTTTTATACCTTGAACCCATTTTGGGAAATTGTATTTGTTTTAATTGACCTGGCTGGGTTATAAAACCCAAAGAGGTCACAACGAGATTCTAGAACAGAAAACATACCCCACAACTAAGATAAACAGAAGCATTGGAGGACAGTTGATGAAAAATAAACTAAACAATGTTGAGCAACTAAAATTGGAATTTTTGTTTACACACCTGCTTGGAGAATCGCAATTTAAGCAGTCATAACCCATTTTATGTTTAGATTGCTCACCTCACACTAACTTCGTTGGAATAATGCGATTATGTGACAACAATGGCGTAGTTTCGAGCAAACCACCTGTTCAACTAAATGGTTTCAAGAATTAAAAACAAAAATTAAATTTAAATTGAAAAATATTGAATGCGAAGTAGATCTAAACCAACTCGATAACGGAAATACCACCAGATGGGCTTAAAATTTGAAATTTCAATCATTCGTTTTTATCTCTAAACCTGACCTAATTTTTTGTTATACCCTACACAATACATAGTAGGGGGGGTATATTGAGTTCGTCTATATATAGATTCATATCCCCCATATAATGATACCTCCCGATATTCGGTATTTTAATGATTTTGAAAATCCACACAAGGAGTTCTATATAGGTATCTCCCAATATTCGGCATTTTAATGATTTTAGCCACATTTTTCCAATGGAATTGTCTCAAAATCCACACAAGGGATTCATTCTTAGTACTTTACCCCCCGGAAGAGAATTGCCTATATAGGTCCACGATATCTGATATTCCCCATATAACGGTACCTCCCGATATTCGGTATTTTGATGATTTTAGCCAAATTTTTCCAATGGAATTGCCCAAAATCAACACAAGGAGTTCCTTCTTAGTACTTTACCCCTGGAAGAGAATTGCCTATATAGGTCCACAATATCGTATATCCCCCATAAACGGTACCTCCCGATATTCGGTATTTTTATGATTTTGGCCACATTTTTCCAATGGAATTGTCTCAAAATGCACACAAGGTGTTCCTTCTTAGTACTTTACCCCCTGGAAGAGAATTGCATAAATAGGTCCACGATATCGTATACCCCCAATAAACGGTACCTCCCGATGATTTTAGCCAAATTTTTTCAATGGAAATGTCTGAAAATCCACACAAGGTGTTCCTTCTTAGTACTTTACCCCCTGGAAGAGAATTGCATAAATAGGTCCACGATATCGTATACCCCCAATAAACGGTACCTCCCGATGATTTTAGCCAAATTTTTTCAATGGAAATGTCTGAAAATCCACACAAGGTGTTCCTTCTTAGTACTTTACCCCCTGGAAGAGAATTGCCTATATAGGTCCACGATATCGTATAGCACCCATATATCGCTACCTCCGATATTCGGAATTTTGATGATTTTAGCAACATTTTTGACCGGAATTTTTTCAAATTTCGTATTTGAAGTTCGTAATGAATACTACAACCTATGCCAAAAATTGTCTATACAGGTCCACGTCTTTGTATGGCCTCCCTTTACTCCCGGTATTTTGATGATATTAGCGACACTATTCAACGGAATTGTTAAAAATGGCATATTTGAAGTTCGAAGTCGACGCTACAGCTTATGGCAAGAAATTTCTTATGCAGGTCCACGCCTTCGAAAATCCCCATATAACGATTTACATTTAAGTGATATTTTTCGACGATTTTTTTGATATTATTCAAGATCCTTCAAAATGGTGGAGGGTATTAAAAGTTCGGTCCGGCCGAACTTACATGCTTTTTTACTTGCTAATTCCAAAACTTGTATGATTTCTTAAATGCCAATATTTTCACCTGGATTTTTGAAAAAAATATTAAAAAAAATTTCGGCTGTGGATTTTGGGGTCGAATCTTTCAAAATATCAAAAATCATAGGTCTACATTCCATTTTTTTGTGAGGAAGAAAGGTATCCTTGGTTTTGTTTAAGGATTTGAAAAGAACGTAAATGTTTCTATCTCCCACCAACGTGGGACATTTGGATAGTAGGTGTCCAATCGTCTCATCTCTTCATCTTTACACAGACTACACTAGTTAGGAACACTGTTATCCACCGAACACTCAGTATCAGATATCTGATACTGTCAGTCAGTATGCCTTAGATCAGACCTACAATTATTAGATCAGACCTACAAATCGGTAAAAGAGAGCTTCATCTTTTTCTCGAGTTTACCGGCCAGATGGTCTTTTTGAAGCAGCTGTCCTAATAGCTTATTGGCGGTTTAACAGTCTCATCAAACCCTTAATCAATCTACTAATTCCTCGACCAACTTCATTCCTTATTCCACACTAGGTTGTTATGTTCCGGAACAAATTTAAGTATCTGTAGACAAATTTAGCAGCACGTATTTCAATGAAGACTTTTTTTGCATTGATTAGTGGCTCTCGATTTAAAGGCCCTATGACTTGATAGCTTTAAGGACCGCCTGACTATCCACATACACTGGTCACTGGTCCTGTTATGTTATTAAAAAATTATCATACCATTTCGGCTGCCTTGCAAGAATCTCCGCCTGAAAACAGGCCTTCAAGAAACTCGCTCGAATTTGTTGAAAGAGACAAACTCACTTGAATTTAAGTGAGGGCACTTCTTGATGTCGCTCGAATATGAGTGACATTTTCCTCGATTTTGAGTGGGAGTAAAATTCCTTAAAAATCGAACAGATTCTACTTTTGCCGAGCACTCTTTTAGTTTTTGTTATACCCTTGATGTATTTATATTTATATGTATTTTTCTGTACAATTTCTCCTCTTCCCTTCCCTCTTCACCCCATCTTCCCGACTACCTCACCCCTCTTCTACAGTGTACACAGCAACATCAAAACAAAATGTTGCACGTTTTTTAATTTGTTCCTTTTGTATTTAGATTTGAGCGAATTTCCAAGTCCAGTAATTATACCCTACACCACAAGGTGGTCAGGGTATTATGTCTTTGTGCATTTGTTTGTAACATGAAGAAGGAAGCGAGATAGACCCATAGTTACTTTTGAGGATCTCCATAGAATCACTTTCTTAATTGATTTATGCATGTCAGCCCGTCCGTCCGTCCGTCTGTCCATGTATTCTTGTGAACAAAATGAAGGTCGCATTTATTATCCGATTGAGATGAAATTTTCCAAACAACATTTGCTTGGCCCAAGGACGAACGATATTGAAATTGGAGATAATCGGTCAAAATTTAGATATAGCTCCTATATATATCTTCATCCGATTTGATTTTTATTGTGCACCAAACGTATAATATCAGCCCGAATAGTATGGAATTTTGCACATACAACCAAATTAGGCCTGAAAATAAGTATGCCAAATTTGATCGAAATCGGTTCAGATATAACTATAGCTCCCATATATATTGTTCATCCGATTTGTCATTTTTGTCCTCCGCTGCCGTAATATGCACTCTGTAACAACAATATTTGGGGAAATATATAAAATGCAGCTCAGAAATACCTTTGCTAAATTTTATCGAGATCGGTTCAGATTTGGCTATAGCTCCCATATATAACTTCCTCCGATTTACCTTTTATTGTACACCAAACGTCTAATATTTGCCCAAATGGGATGGAATTTGGCACATACGACCGAATTTAGTCTAGAAGGTAGTATGCCAAATATGGTGAAGATCGGTTCAGATAAAGTTATAGCTCCCATATATATTGTTCATCCGATTTATTGTATTTGTTACCCACAGCCGTAATATGCACTCCGTAACAACGATATTCAGGAAAATATATCAAATACAGCTCAGAAATATCTTTGCCAAATTTTATGGAGATCTGTTCAGATTTGGATATAGCTCCTATATATATCAAATGGGCCATGCTGTACCTCTTTTACCCCCTCATCTAACTCCTGTATCATTATGGACCCAACCTATACAGAGGTTGCATCTTTCTTTAGGTTAAACTTAGAAGCAGAACCAGGTTGAGAAGAATCAGAACGGACACAGCGGAAGTAACTGCTACAGCGAGAATAACACGCAGACACAAAAAGTACGGCGGACAGACTTTTAGACATGCAAGCACCAGCGGCCATAAGGAGAGGAGGGGGACGAAAGATGGAACTACAGGCATGTGCAAATATTCACACTTGATGAGCTACACTGGGACCTCGATTTAAAGAAGTCTTGAGAAATTTAGATAAGGGTACAAATTGGAAGACCCATTCAAGGTTTTTAAATTTCGAAGAACTTTCGGAGGATTTTTAATGGATAAAGGACTTTTCTTGTTCATCCTGTAGATAGAATAACTTTTGAAAGGTGTTCTGTAGATAGGGACTTTCTTCTAAAGATAGACGACTATTCAAAGGATGATGATGATGGACGATTCTTCCATGGTCTTTTGCAAATTTAAGACCCTTTAGAGGTCTTCCATAGACTGAAGACCCTTCAAGGGTTTTTTAGCGATAAAAAACACCCTTTAGGGGTCTTCTAAAACTAGAAAATTTTAAGAGGTCTTCCTCGACAAACGATACTTTATGGGTTCCCATTGAGGGATTTAAGACATTTTGAGGAACCTTCTACAGATAGAAGGGCGTTCAGGGGGTCTTCCATAGACAGAAGAGCCTTTATGAACTCTCTATAGGTAGAAGCTCCTTGAGGGGTTTCCATAGATTGAATACCTTTTGAAGAGACTTCTTCATATAGAAGACCCTTTAGAGGTCTTCTCTATATAGATTTCTCTTGGTGGATCTCCTGTACATAGAAGACTTTTCGAGGGGTCTTCTGTAGATTGGAGACCCTTTGAATGTCCTTCCATAGATAGAGGTCCCTCTAAATGGTATTATATAAATAAAGGACCCTTCAAGGGCCTTCAATGGAAAAAAGGACCTGCAGGAGCCTCCAATAGATAGAAATACTTTGAGGGTGTCTCCGGGTATCTTCTATAAATAGAAGACTCTTTGAACGGTCTTCTATGGGTAGTAGAACCTTTGAAGGGTCTTCTATAGATAGTAGACCCTTTGAAGGGTCTTCTACGGATAATATAACCTTTATAAACCCGCAAAAGCTGATTCAAGATCTACGTTTAGCCTTCTTTAACTCACTTTGTACTTATTGAAGTCTGCCTTATAGGCGTTCCTATGTCAGCGGATTTGCTTACAAATTAGGGCAGAAATTTCAAAAATATCGAAAATCGGTTGTGTTGTATGAGGACTATATGAAAAAGTGGACCCAGGTTGGATTATTGAAAACATTTTCCCTGCACTTACCTGCGATTTGACAAAATCATCTGGCGGTGTGTGTTCGAAGCCACATTTTTCCCGGCGAAACTCTTTTTTAACCGGATGAACAATATCTTTGATGGCCTTCATGGTTTGAACTGATTCGCAACTTGGCAATAATTTTTCGAACTTCAATAATCGACGTGTTATTTGTAATTTGATTTTTTTTTTAATTGTTTGATCGCAATTATAATTTCAAAATCCCGATGGCAAAGAGATCACCAGTTACTGTAGTCTGGTACTGATGTTGTTGCTGTTTGGCTGTAGTTTCTGCGATTTGTACTGCTGCGGATATTGTTGTAGTTGTTGATGTTCTATCGATATTTGTTTTTTTTTTTCTGTTTCCAATTCAATGTTCAAGCGAGGTTCGCAGCCAGCTGCCCGCGTTAATGGTGCATGCAATTATTGTTACAACAACAACTACAATATGACATCATGTCAACAACAATGATATGGGGGAGGAGGGGTGCATGTGAATGCAAAAAATTCATAAAAAAGGGCTGAAATGAAAATAGAAACATGGTTAGAAAATAAGTTAATAGAAATAGAAAAAATGAAATCTTAATATTGGCGTGTTTAAATTAAATTGTCATCCGAACGCAAATCCAATAATTAGACATGGGGCGATTACCATGTAAAATGACTTAACTCACAATTAGCAAGGTAAATGAAGTCAATATGCGGAAAGCTATAAAAAATTGCTTTCAAATTTATTTAAAAATTGACCTTTATAGGTCTTAGTTCAGCTTAAAACAATTATTTAAAAATCCACGCTTATAGGTCGGACTTTAGCTTAAAAATTTTATTTAAAAATCCACGCTTATAGGTCGGACTTTAGCTTAAAAATTTTATTTAAAAAATCCGTGCTTATAAACCTGAGCGTAGCTTAGAAAATTATTAAAAAAATACACTCTCCAAAAGCGTAATTTGGGCTTGAAAGTATAAAAAAAAACCACATACAAGGAGAATAAACCGGGTCTAAAAAGTTATTTAAAAAATCACCACTTGAAGACCAAACTCCGGACATGAAATGTTATTTTAAAAACTCCACGCTTAAAGGGCATGAAAGGGCCTTGAAAAATAATTTTCAGAAACTACGCTATAGGACTGAGTCAGGGCTTGAACATTTATTTAAGTAATCCACTTTTGAAGGGCGGAATTTCAGCTTAAGGCGAGTAACTGGGAAATTTATTAAAAATGCATGTTTAAAGGACCGTTCGTGGACTTTAAAAATAATTTTAAACAAGTTAAAAAGTATCAGTCGGTATTGCCGCCAGATACATACCCTCAGCCTATGTTCGATTATTTAAATATATTTTGACTTGTGTTAACATTATTCAAACATTTGACCCTATATGGAGCAGGTCCCGAAGGAATGGTCTAATATTGACTTGGGAATGGGCCAATATCTACCATTTCCTATCGGATCCAAAAATGTGATATAAATATTGCGAATTATGTGCCAAGTCTAATCGGATGGAATCGGATGTTATTTTAGCGTTATATGAGCTTCATGGGTACTCAAATGTATTCCCCCTTCACATCAAACCATGGGTTAATACAAATATTAGGATGTGTGAAATTTGAAGACAATCGGACTTTTACATCACATTTAATGAGATTGTAATTATTCAAAATTTTGACCATTTGTGGGGGGAGGTACTTGATCGAGTGGACCGATATTGTCCATTTTCGCACCTGACGTAGCACTGACAAAAATATTAGGATTTGCAAAGTTGGAGCAAATTCGGATTATCCCTTCTCTTTCTGTGCAAAAAAATATATTTTTTGAAAATGTCGACCTTTTGTGGGGGAGGTATATGAAGGAGTGGACCGATATTGCCCATCTCCGAACCCGATCTAAGTTTGACAAAAATATTACGATGTACCCAATTTGGACCAAATCGGATACTCCCTTCGAGAGTTATCGTGCGCACCAGCCAGACAGACGGACGGACGTACATCGCTAGATCGACTCCAAATGTTCTGAAACGGATTTGGTCCGAAGAGACCTAGGGTCTTAAACCGTTATTTCGACTAGGCACGTTTTGGCCGTACCAAATGATATATACCCTCTGTAGCCATATGGCTGAGGGTATAAAAATCCTATAAAATCCTGGGGGACGGAGACTAAGACACCAAAAAAATATGGGAAAATCCAGCAGATTATGGAATTAGAGCTGAAAATAGAAGACACGTGAATCGGCGTTTTGTCACAAGGTTTTTTTTTTCAATTTTTCAGAAAATGGTTAAAAGCTCTATTAAAATTGAAATGTAGCAAGTCAAAATATTCTACCGATTTATTTTCTATAATATTCTACCAGGAGTTCAAATGTTTGGGGGGGGGGGTGTGGGTGGCGACTATATGATATTCTACACCACTAGGCATATTTAGTAGAGCTCCCGTAACAAAATAAATTAATTGAAGTAGATTATACATGTGAGTGAAGATAAAAACGTTTTTAATTACCGAAGACTTTCAGTTGTATAACAGTTCAAAAACGTTTATGTATATGAGCGGAAAATAAAAACGATTTTCAACGTGTTAGACTTTTAATCTTTACCATTTGTTTGATTTACGAAAAACTATTTTTGTTATCCCCTAGTATCCTAGTATAAAAGACTAATACTGAAATAAACACAGAAATTGAAAATACATTATTTAAATTGTCAATGTTGAAGAATTATGATTATAAACATTTTTTGCATTACATTTATTGCAAAGAAGATTTTGTTGAGAAAATCGTTAAAATGGTTCCGAATATACATTGACCTAAGCATTTCATTGTAGATATTTTAAGAAAAAAATTTATCGTCGAAAAATTTTGAAAGGACAAATTATGTTTTGGCCTGTAACTCAGGATCAAAAAAGGATACGTGTATATGGAAGGTATCGTTAGAAAGGTGATTCCTTCTACTTTCCGAATATGTATTGATCTAAGCATTTCATTGTATAAATTTTGAGAAAAAATTATCATCGAAAAATACGATTTAAAGGACGTAATATGTTTTGGTGATTCCTTCTACTTTCCGAATATTGCGTTTTAAAAATTCGCAATATTGGACACAGCCTAGCTTCAAAAAATTATGTAAAAAACGCAATTGTTGTCAAAAAATTGTTTAAAAATTTATCCATCCATGATTACAAAAATCAGATTTGTTTAAGCTAACCAAAACACCAACGCATTAAGGCCTTTTATTGACCTCCTCTCCCACATCTAGCCAAGTAGCAAAGCTCCTCAAAAATCCCAAATATTGTAATCATCAAACCCACCATCACTCAGACATCCCGCACACATGTAAGTTACTTACTTACATACCAATCTCCATTGGCATAATAGTACATATCTCCAACATTTTAGCCCGAGGTATAACAACAATCATCAATTATGATATCGTTCCCCCCACATCTCCTTTCCCTTCGTCTGTACAATGACTTTTAAAATTGAATATTATTTTTGTTGTATTTTTTATTTTTTGTTTGTTTTTTTTTTATGACGATGACAAAGCTATTCAGAAGATAAAACACACCAATTTAAAGTCGATTGAGTCTGGGCTTTAGTTGGTCGCCACACAATGGATGTATGTATGGATGTACTCAGACTATCTGATGTTTATCAGAATATCATAAACAAACAAATGCCAAGGTAATTGAACTTGTCATTATTATTATGTTATTATTGTTGTTCATCATTACAGTGGTTGTAGAATTTTAGGCAACAATATTAAATTTTCAATTTATATATGTTTTAAAAAAAAAAATATTCTTAAAAACAATGTCTTTGGCTTTCAAGTGGTTTTCCACCAAATACTCGTTTTTGAATTTAAAACTTTGAAAAAATTGTTTTTAAAAATGACTCGTTCAGGCACAAACATTCCCTGAAGGCTATGTTTCAAACATTAAAATTTATGGCTCTAAAGTGCTTTAGAAAATATTCTTCAAATGTCCTAGTTTGAGATCGACTATATTCTTCACTATATGATAATTTTTGGAAAATATTGAATTGTATACCAGATATAGTGGACTAAGGTATTTCACTTCATCTAAAACTGATAAAAATATTAGGATGCACAAAATTCAAAGAAAGTCGGACAGTTATTTCCAATTTTATGCGAATATTTGTAAATCAAAATTTTAACTTTTTTTGGGGGGAGATACCAGAAGGTATAAATTCCATATTCCGATCAGATCTCTGGTGGAGTGAAATATTTAGATATACCAAGTTTCAAAATAATTGCTGACTTATTTCGGAAGTTATGAGAGATATGAGTATTGAAAATTGTGACCCTTTGTGGTGGAGAAGGGGTGGGGCGATATCTATCCTCTTCAAGCCAGATGTTGGGTTGGAAGAGATATTGGAATGTGTGAATATTGAAGAGAATCGGATGCTTATTTCAAATTATGTGAGAAAATTAATTTTTCAAAAATTTCACCCGTTGTGAGGGAAATAGTGGAAGAAGTAGTCCGATATTCCATTTTTACACCAAATATTAAAATATTTGAAAGTGCTTCATGGAAATTCACAATTTTGACCCATTGTGAGGAGTTAACAGGAGATTCCGAATTGTGAAATCCGTTCAATCAGTTTTTTCTGTACCAGATGCTGTGTAAGTAGAAATATGGAAAAGTAAGTACGAAATTTGAACCCATTTCGACTCTTGATTCATATTTTATAAGTGTTACTAGCAAGTACCCAATACTTCGTCAGCGAAAAGTCCACCTTAAAATTTTAGATTCGTTCCAACAGTTCGTGTTGGGCCTTTTTAGAACTCAAAAATGTTCAATTTGGTTAAAAAAAAAAATTTTTGGTGAAAACTTCATAAATTTTTCTAAATTTTTGGACTTTTAAGATTTCTATAAATTATTCAAATTTTTCTTTTTTTTGGAAGGAATAATAGGAAAAAAAAAGTTAACAACCCTTTACACCAAAAACTCTTAAAAATCGTTCATTCTGAAGTTTGCCGAGGAGGATAATGGTCCCACATTCAATTTTTCGGTTCAAAACTATTTGAACATCTCCATATTTAAAACTCAGAGACCAACAGTGACCTCAATATTAAATTTCAGGATTTCAGCTCTATTCTTTCACCCAATACCAAATTAAGTACTATTTTGTACTTTTCCCACAATTAAGTACGCATTTCCCAAAACACATCCATATATCAATCCCAAATGCCAAGAGAGACCTGAATATCAAAATTTCAGGATTTCAGCTCTATCCCTGCAGCCAATTCTCAATTTACTACCACTTAGTACTTTTCGAACGATTGTAGTACACATTTCCGAAATCACCTTCAAATCTTAAACACAGACACCAACAGTGACTTCCGCGTCAAATTTCAGGATTACAGATCTATCCCTTCACCCGATACCAACTAAAGTAGCATCTATTACTGTTTGAACAAACATAGTTCGCATTTTCAAAATAATCGTCCTATCTCATCCTTAGATACCAACAATGACCTAAATACAAACTTCAGTGTTTCAGCTGTTGAGTAA